TATAGACAATAACTGTGTAAATCTATTTGCCGAAGAGGGATCTGCTGATCTCTGAACGTCCTTGGCATTTTACCAAAATACCTACCAAGGAAGGAACGAGCAATCTATTTGTCTATGTATGATTAGCTGTATTAAAACCCGCGATTAGCGAAAATTTTCCCAAATAACGTAAGGCCTAACATTCTATTAAACATCCACCACTGCCAACACAAACATGGGCCATCATGTGCGGCATCAGTCTAAAGGCAATTTTATTCACGCTAGGCTTAGATCTGTTTGTTTGTAGCCAGGGATTTTTATGAAATTCTAGGAATCCTGCTAAAACAGATTTCATATATGGAAACAATAATACAAATATTATAGTAATGTATACTAATATATGTATATTATAATAAAAGAAATAAAGATTCTTAATGAATAAATGTAAAATAATAAAAGAGGAATTAACCTAGAAACCTGAAATTTCGCACACATACTAAGTGGAGCCTGAATGTGTGCACCTGGGTATTATTACTTATCCACATGCGTGCGTGTGCATCTTTTTTGAGATAAGCAAGCGAAACACCACATAGAAAAGAATATGTGACCATCATAGCTCCAAGAGGAAACAACCTAGAAACCTGAAAGTTTGTACCCATACTACATGGACCCTGAGGGTGTGCCTAGACATTATTATTTATCCACGTGCGTGCGAAAAACCAGATAGAAAAGAAATGTGACCACCATAGCTCCAAGAGGAAAGAACCTAGAAATCTGAACTTTTGCACCCATACTAAGTAGACCCTGAGGGTGTGCACCTGGGTATTATTACTTATTCACGTGCGTGTGCGCATGCACATGTTTTCAATGAGGCAAGCTAGCGAAAAACCACATAGAAAAGAAATGATTTCTTATATTATAAATAGAGATCACAGACAAACACGCACGTGTAAGCGTGCACATGTGCGTGTCTGTGTATCTGTGACTGTCATAGCTCCAAGAGGAAAGAACCTAGAAACCTTATACTTTGAACCCATACTAAGTGGACCCTGAGGGTGTGCACCTGGGTATTAATTATCTTATCGACGTGCATACGCGCATGCGCTTTTTTTTAATGATCCAAGCAAGAGAAAAACCACATAGAAAAGAAGTGATTCCTTATATAACTTTTAATATATAGAAAAGCCAGTGGATTTTGGTAACAATGCGTTCCAGCAGTGGCTTTTATGTCATGTTGCTCAGCAACACAAGTATATAGGTTATACTTTTATGCTAAAATGGGTTCATAATATACATATTATCACCCTAATAACCCGAGAGAAGCCGGGTGCTTTCGCTAGTACCTAATAAAACAAATATCACTAGAGATCGTTCGATAAATATTATATAGTAAATTCTACCAAATTTAAAAAAAATAACAGCATTACATCTTAATTTAATACATTTGAGTATTGAATATGGTGTTAAAAACCAATATAAAATGACCACATTAACATTCTTTTTATTGTGAATTTACTTTTTATTTCCATCCTCCTGCAGGTTTCCAAAGTGCCGAGCCACTGTAGTTTTAAAACAAGTTGGTTTTAAAATCAAAAGTACTAAGAATGGTTAGAAATGGATTCACACCATAGAAAAGCAAGAGTAAACCATGCCAAAGTTCATTTGACATCAGCAACATGGGAGAAGTAGCATTGTGCAATCAAATGACAAGCAAGAAACACACAGAAAATATGAAGACATTGAAGGCATCATCATGCAACAGTACTACTACCTGCACCTTCTTCAAACCACCTGAAGAGAAACCGCCATTTTATAAAACCAAACTACCACCGCGAATGTTATCAGTTCAACTTCCAACATTCATTCATTTGTTCTACTTATGTTTTAAAATTAGAAGTTTTATTGGTTTTGCGAACTATTGACTGTCATGGTTCATTTCATTCAATGTGATCATACATAGCCGTACATGGATTAGCTCCATATTTCACTTTCATACTGAA